CGCGCTCGCGTTCTTATTAATACCGCCGTGCGATGTTTGACTTTGACTTTGGGCAGCGTGAAGGAAGATGGCAAGGTACTCGTGCAGGGTTTCTCGTCCGGACAGGTTCCCACTATTGATGTCCAACATCTGGTTCAGAAACAGCTGTCACTGCAAGGTGAGTCAGGAAGAATTCTAATTGCTTTATGAACTCTGTTTGTTTAAGGTGTCTGGTTCGGTGGCTACATTCGTCGAAAACCAGACAAGTTCCACTCAATTATGAGACATATAATGAAGTTACTGGAGGACGAGTACCTCAGTCCGGTTATTCGGGCCACGTACAAAATCGAAAACGTGCGTTATCAGGGTTGATTTCATATTCTGTTGATTTAACCTCCTCATTTCATAGGTAAATGAAGCCTTCAATTTCGTAATCAGCGAATCAAGCATCGGCAAAGTCATTCTAGCCCTCAGATAAACAAACTGACTGCTTTAAAATGTTTAATAATTAAAATATCTAATGACGTATTAAAAAAAGAAATAGTAAAATGGTGTATAGCACTTTTTGGGGTATGACCCCCGGCGTCGCATGTACAGAATAAAATCCAATAAATAAATAAACGAGGCTAATAGTTTTACAAATGATACAACGCATATAAAATTTACCTGTGAATAAAACGTATAAAGTACTCAAGTAAAGACTGCACGACGTGGACGTGACGCACACAACACTGTTCGATAAGGAAGGTTTGCGAATGGAAATAACGAGAAAGCACAAGTCGTTCGATAGCGTCCCGCCTGACCGACCGACCGAGCGTTCGCGCCGTCACTGACGTCAGTGTCCACTGCTGCCACCGGACTTTGAATGCTGTATAAGCCACTGGAGAGTTATGTCTAAAAATGACGGTCGTAAATCAATGGATGACGGTGAGAAGATGCCAACAATTCATGTTACCTATGTTGTCTTTTTCTTTGCAGGAAATGGAGTAGCAGCAAATTTCCCTATTCTGAATAGCGGCCAGATTCCTAAAAGCAGTTTGTTTTAGACAATATTATCCATGAGCTTTTAAATATTGAAAAATATACAATTTCTCGATTAACTGCTTTTCGTCCAATGCGTTAGGCAGGTCTTTTTTATTACCGAGAACCAATACCGGGATCCCTTCCAGCTGAGGTTTCTCTAAAAGCTGGTGTAACTCGGTTTCCGCACCTTCGAGTTTCTCGTGATCTGCTGAGTCGACCATAAATCTGAAATTAATAAAAAAAATTTTCTAGCAATTTTTTGTGTCAATTTAGCTAAGCTTACGGGTAAGTAGTTACACGTTGTGTCTATGGAGTAGGAGGCATTTGAAAGCCTGAAGGTGTTAATATACAATTTAAGGTGCAGCAAATACCATTATGACCACATCAGGATGTCGTCTTGTCAAGTCTTATGCAGGTATCGATTTGCTTCTTGACTAGTGGCAAAGAAATCGTAGCAATTAATATGTCATTCCTTGTTTAAAGGACTGATGACGATACGTAGGATTTTCCATCCCATCTCGTCGTTACTAACAATCTAGTAGGCGTGCGTAATACCTCTTTCTCGATGTCACCGATTCGACGCTTATGTTTGTTATGTCATCAGTCGTTCAGCAGGTACGTCGCATAGAAATGACTTGCGTGCCTTCATTAAGGATGATAGTCTTAGATATTTACGTAGTAGTTCAGTAGGTATACATTTAAGGTGCGCTTCCTTAAACAGGCTTCATAAAGGGTACAACAAAGTCTGTCGCCCTGACAATCAATACCTCATTAATCGTCTATTTCAGATTCATGAAGGAGCTTGAGTGCGATGGCGACCGTTTTGACTCAGACGTGAAAGATTCCCTAAACTTCAAAGAGCTACGGATATTTGATTCATCGAGAATAATTCATCCAAAACAAAGCTTTCTCAAGGAAACAATGGACAGTAAAAAATGAAATCACATTCTTATTTTTCTCCTCAAGAGCGCATCTGTATTTTTTTGAACGTTTCTAATATACGCTAAGTTTAAATCGCGCGAGCAACGTAGTACAATTTTAGCTACCAACAGCGAAAGGAACACAACCGCTGTGAACAGACCAGTACTCACACTATAGCATTCACTCCGCGGCAGTAACGCTCCCACATCGTCCGAAATCTTGGTTGGCCTCCAATGTCCCAAAACTGGAGAAGAAAAAATAAGTTAAAACAGCGACCATACACCCCTGAGGGTAGAAGAAATATCTTACCTTAATTGTGACGTTGCCTTTGGTTACTTTCCTCATGTTGAAGCCAACCGTTGGAATCATATCTTCGGTAAACTGGCCACTCTACAGGTGACAGTGGTAACAAGACAGCGTCTTGGAGACATCGCGAAGCTTACCGCAATAACGTTGACAAAAGTAGTTTTACCGGAATGCTGCAAACCGACCAACGTCAGTTCCATCTCCTCCTTCCAAAACAGGCTCTTGATCCAGTTTAATATGCGATTGATTAAGGCAAGCATCGTTTACCGTTTGCTCTACTTGCAACGACAGCGAAGACTGGCAATATAACCCGATTTATAACCGATCCCGCGACAGCTTAATATAAATAGTTAAGGGTGGTAAGCAGACTTTCTTTAAGGAGTTTAAAGTCACGCATCAAATTGAAGCTAACAAATCCAGTTTTATCGTCAGTGTAAACCAACATACAATCAGTCAATTCTAAACATAAAAGGAAACTGCCTGCCGATCAGTCTAAAGATTTTACCAATGAGATGATCATTTCTTTTATTTAGCAGTAGTACTGGGGCAGAAGCCACTGAACCTTTTCATCCATACTTATGAGAAGCAGGAGTCGTCAGACACGAAATGAAACCGAGGGGAAATAAATTGATCCTGCATCTTTCCAAAGCTAGATGACAAGAGGTTCACATACGAAGCGATATTAATTGCAGATTCTAAAGAGGATGTAATAAAATTAACTTAATACATAATACGCCAATTTTTAGAGGCCATCCACTTTTTATGAAATATAATGAGTGTAGCACAGGAATATAATATTATTTTACCAATGCAATGCACTACGGTGAACAAATAAACTACTATGTCGAGAGATGAATTTTTAGCAATGACACTGTAATTTGAAGATGGCGACCTATCATTAAAAATGTGGCTTTTGAAAGGTCACCCCTGAACCTTAATATTACTGAAACTTTCATATGGTGTCTTGAAGAATTAGCAATCTCCTTAATGCAAAACTGTAAGTGAAGCTCACCCACATCGATTTGCTAGTGCAGAATAGATGAAAAAATGTATACTAACTGGCAGAAAGTAAATAGTTACAAAGAACTCTGGAAGTGCCGAGATGCAATTTTACACTTCAACAAGTAAGTAAATAATAGTTATGCGATCTGGTAATGCATCGATCCGAAAAAGAAATTTTTCAGGTTCTTTACGTCGATTAGGAACCTGACTATGAGAGAACAGCGAAAGGAGTTTCTTATTATCAGAGCTGAAGATAAGAAAAAAGCCTGGACTGGGAAATTTTGAAGGAAACGTAGAGCTAAACCATTTTTCAGACATAGACGGTCAGTGAGTAGCGGACTGTTAATGACATTCAAAAAGCAATGAGCCAAATTGAGACAGTGAACTCACAATAGAATAGGAAACATTGAAAACTTTAAAACACATTTCACTGACAACACTGGGGCCAGAAAAGCAGGCAACGACAAATAGGGTTGCGCTCAAAAACAAAATCTCATAACTAGGTTGAACTAAATCGCTGTTGGCAGAATGATCTAAAAAAACTTCAGATCGTGTTGTCCTTTCACCGATCTCACGGACAAAATCTTTCGAATTTTCTGCCCTGATGAACGGGCTGCAGTTCACAACTCAGAGACTCACACGGCTTTTAAGATGATTAACTCAATTTCGTGACCAATTTTAAGACTTAAAGCAAGTTAAATATTTTTAACATCGAACTTCAGTTAATATATAACGTTTTGCCAATTATATCTAGAACCATATGCAAATCAAGCGGTGAAGCCCTCTAAAATATGATTCAGAGATGATGCTCTGAATCACAAACATTTACGCTCCTGAGTCACATATCACAATATCTGCCAATGAAAACAGATAACGTTCAACTCGTTGAGCCTTTACAAGAGAAACGGCAGCCGCCAGATCGCTGCTGACTTTTTCGACACGAGTTCTTCTGTACCACCTGATGTGGCAAATCCAGGTTGCTACCAAACTTTCGTCAGCTGATTTAACAGCTGCAAAGAATATGAAAATACGAGAAGCTGTAATATACAAAATTACGCAAAGTTAGCATTAAATCGCGCTTAAGTTCACTGATGACCTCGGAAACTCAAGATAGAATACATGTCAGTCAGAATCGTCAGACAAGATCTATTTCAATCGAATACAAAAGAAGGAGCTGCTCGAACCCAAGTTCCAACATAAAACTGTGCAAATGGCAAATAAATTACATTAAAATACAGCACATATTGTCCGCTGTTAATAGCTTCACTACAACTACTATACCCTCAAAACCTCAACTGAGTGAATCAATGAATTGTTAATACAGTAAACAGTTTTCAAGTTACATATAATCAATGCAAAATGATTACGGAAAAATACATTAAGACGCCAACTGTAGATCTACTGCCTATTAAATTTCATTTCGCCGCTAACACTTTCTTTTAATTTTTAATCGTCTGTAAAATATGTCAAGTGAAATGCAGCTGCAAAGTATAAAGACAAACTATCGATGTTACAATTTTTTCGTGTTCTGGCATGACCACCTATGAGAACATTATGCTGTCATTATTTTTGGCACATCAGAGACCTGCTATGATTTTTCCTAAATGGCCACACAAAGGCACAGTGGTGGAAGTTGCTCGTTCAATATAGTTAACAGCCACTGAAAAAAATTATGTGCCGTACGTGAGGTATGAATCGAACACCAGTAAGATGCTGTCAGGCGTGCCACTGCTTATAAAAATTCGCCAAAGATTGTTCTGATGATTATCATATTTTCAATTGCAGGCTGAATTTTAATATATGAACAGTTTGCTAGAATAAATTAAATACTTGCATTGTCTAGCAAGTTGCCTGGTGTTACGTCGAATGATGGCCCAAAGAACATCCACGGTAGAGGCTACAGACTGGAACGTCATGCATGATGATCACATGAACTGTAATGTCGACAACATCTCCTCCTATCTGTCATTCATCTTTGACCATTGCTGTCCTTTATGGAGGATACATGGTACCAACGCTGGCTTCTCTTCATATATTACGGAAAAAAAGAAGGCTTGGCTTCACGGAACACCAGATAAGCTGAAGGCTATCGTAAATAATTTCAGAAGAAATTCATGGCCTTCAAAAAAAAATTCAACCTGGTTGTGTTCTGATAGCGTCAAACTTCGCCAGGCGTGGATGGCAAATAAAAAGTTTATACTTTTTGCACAGTAAGTGCGACTTCAATAATCGAGACAAATGCTGTCAACGCTTTCTTCCTTGGCTATGAGAACCACATCAAACTCTCAGGAAACTATCCCTCAAGATATGAGGGATGCAGAAACAATACAGATAATCGACGAGGAAGAATAGCGTTGTTTCAGGATCAGATTAAAGCTTCTTTAGCAGCTGGGCCAGATTGTTCAGGATCAGGTGTACTAAAGTGTGGAACCCGTCA